AACATTGCTACGATAATGTTTTTGAGCAAAATGTTCGGCGACTTTTTTCACCGTACATTGCGAACATTTCATGGAACATTGCTACGATAATGTTTTTGAGCAAAATGTTCGGCGACTTTTTTCACCGTACATTGCGAACATTTCATGGAACATTGCTACGATAATGTTTTTGAGCAAAATGTTCGGCGACTTTTTTCACCGTACATTGCGAACATTTCATGGAACATTGCTACGATAATGTTTTTGAGCAAAATGTTCGGCGACTTTTTTCACCGTACATTGCGAACATATCATGGAACATTGCTACGATAATGTTTTTGAGCAAAATGTTCGGCAATGTGCGCCGGGCTTTACGCACCGCCTAGTTGCTCACAAAGTGTCCATTCTTACAAGGAACCCCTTCTTACATCAAGCGAACCAGACAATGCGTTTAGACAATACGTCTGCAGTGTACTTCTCTCTGCATATCTGTGAATCTGTTTTCATGTTTTTATATAATAATTACATTACAAATTAATAATTTTCAAATGCTATTATTGCATATTTCAAAATTTTGGATACCAACATTGTTGAAATTCCTATCCAATAAATGGGATACCAGATCTTTGGGGGGATACCAGATTTCAATACCTGGTATCCCGAATGGATACCATAATAAAAATCTAATTTCGACCCCTGCTTACCTCTTGTGTCGTAAAGACAATATTCTCTTACACCTCTCATTCTAATGACCAACCTGCCTTACACGTCTCATCCAGATAACCATCCCTCTTTACATCTCTCATGTAGACAACCAACATCCCTTACATCTCTCATCCTGATGACTAACCTCCCTTACATCTCTCATCTTGATGACCAACATTCCTTACATCTCTCATCCTGATGACTAACCTCCCTTACATCTCTCATCCTGATGACTAACATCCCTTACATCTCTCATCCTGATGACTAACATCCCTTACACCTCTCATCCTAATGACCAACCTGCCTTACACGTCTCATCCAGATAACCATCCCTCTTTACATCTCTCATGTAGACAACCAACATCCCTTACATCTCTCATCCTGATGACTAACATCCCTTACATCTCTCATCCTGATGACTAACATCCCTTACATCTCTCATCCTAATGACTAACATTCCTTACTCCCCTCATCCTGACAAAAATCCTAACCTATACGGGTGACTTGAGGACTACCTAAGTGTTGTGAGAAATGATAGGCATAGCAGTCGGTATTTCATGAATTGTAAATTAATAGCAACTCCTTTATTGGGGGGGGACTGTTTACTCTAGAACAGCCATTACACTAACGACGTAAGAATTACAGACTTTTTACGGAAATTGGTCGAAAATTGTGGACGGTTACGCAAAGTCCGTAATAAAATTTACGGACGGTTAACCAAGATTGCTGTGATAACCCATTAAATGCATAAAAAATACATGTGCAAAGTTTGCTGATAAGAGGAGAGTTTTCATAGTTGCCATATCACCAGCAACCTATAGTCAAAACTCTGCTGGACTCGCCAGCGAGTTTATTGGACTGAAGGTGTGACCGGCACTTTATTCAGCAACAGTAGCAACACGTACATGTAAGCCTGGCAATATAGGCTATTACTCGATCGGGTGTCTACGATTGATCTATTAAAACAAATAGTACTTGCACTCTGCAGGAATGAGCGACAATAAGACCAGACACTGCAAACAACGCGGAATTCGTATATAATCAATATAATTCATACGTGCTGCACAGCTATGTACACCTGCCTGACACCCTAGATTAAGAAAATCAACTCACTGGCACTTTCAGCAGAAATTATATCCACCATCTTGTTCAGTTCAACGAAACTCTCCCATTACCACAAAACCTTTCGCATAGATCTACTCATTATGCATATTTTTTCTACACATTTAAAATGCCACCGTGGAAATTCCCGTAACTGTCCGCAAATTTTACAATGGGACTTTCCTTAATTGTCTGTAGTTTTCCACAACTGTCCGTAATTTTCGTTCGATTTCCGTAAAAAGTACGTAATTTCTCCTTCATAGTGCAATCCGGTAATCGCCTCGACGATTTACCTTGCTGTACTGATTCCAACTACACACCCTGTAGCAGCTACTTCATACAGACGAGTAAATAGAAACACTTCTACAAAACTGAGTCCCTACCTTCTTCATCCATGCGTTCGTCCGCCTCTCCGCCTCCGCCCGTGTCTTCCGTTTCCTGGATCTGCCCCTCCTCCTCTACCTCCGCGTTCAACTCTTCATCACGATCTGTTGCGCACACTTCCGTCTCGTCTTCCTCCTGGGCAGCACCGCCCGTTTCCTGCAACCTGAATTCAAGATGAACTCATTACACGTTTATATGTACGTATTACGCAATCGTCGGTGGACTTTTGATCAAGAGGGCGTACTTGCATGCGTACCTGCACATGCACCGACACGCATGCACAGTTTCACACGCACGGACACATACACGTACACGTACCTTTCAGTAGCATCATTTTGTTCTGATTCTTCAGCGTCATCTACCACAAAATACTGAAGAGGATTTGGCCATATTTCGTCCTTTATCGCCTGTGGGAAAAAGTAAAAGACTATTGCAAATGACATGTAGATTAAAAGGTGTAAGAATTAGATCATTAACAGGTGAGAGTGAGCTCATTTGCTCATTCCTACGCTTCACTAATAGTAATAGTAATAGCTGGAGCTGACGTCACACTTAAACTCTGTTTCTATCCGACATAACTCCACTGACACGTAAAAAATCTGTCTGAATAACACAGCGACTATAACATTGAGTCAGCTGTTATATTACATTCCACAGGCGATGTATTATATTCCAGCACAGAAGGGGAGAAGTAGAGTGAACGACAGTGTGCAGCGGAAAGGAGAACAACTAAGTTCAACCAGGTGGTTACAGTGTCATGGAATATAGCACGAGGTTGGTATGACGTTGGTCGGAGCTTGGAATGCGTGCACGCAACGTGTGCGTCGTTTAATGTCCAGGTACAACGTGCACAGAGTTAAATTTTTCATCGAGATCCGTTATCCAGCCGCCTTGCATCTAGCATGTAGCCACAAGCCGCACGTGAACGCTACGATGACTGGCCACGGCTGCTTGCTCACGCGAGCCACACTCACCTCTGCTAGCACGTCCGACGCAGCATCACTTTGACTAGTCAACCACATGAAGAAGGTACGCGACCGCCGATCGCGCTTCCTGCCCTCTCTCTCCTCCTGACACTCGGCTAACGACTTGCCGTCCTTCCATCGTATTTCTGGAATGCCGGAGCTGGGATCGTACGTCGCGTGCGCGGACGCAAACTCCTTGCAGACAGTCATGTTTTCGAAGAACGGGTTCTCCTCAAAGTGGAGTCGTATTCTGTAACCCGACCGGAGGTCATCGTAGTCTTCCACCTCCACCTGCACGAGAACACCCCGCCCCACGTTAGTCGATTTTACAATACTTGGGCGATGCATTCATGAGATTATATTTGAGCACCAATTTTTTTATATAATAAATTAATAAATACTAATATGAGGCATCACCCAACTCTGTTTAATTCGCCAGCGAGTTCAATTGACTAAAGAGCCTGGGGTGGAAGGCAGTAACAGGTACACACACTCAGCACCAGTAGCAATTCCTACTCAAGCCTAGTAGCAGGGTTCTCCCTACGTTGAAAACTCCCCCCTGTTTCAATCGTTGCGCCCCGTTTAAATTACCTCCGCCCCGATTAAATTCCACCACAATAAAAGTTTGCCAGCGCGGGAATAGATCGTCAAGAATTCCCATTCGACCAGGACAACCGGCGCGTGTATTTTTACCGTGCCACGCATGCACTGCAGACAATACACAAGTACAAACAGTTAACCTGTACCGAACCCAACACTAACTGTACACCGACTCGGCTATCTTATATATACAAGAACCCCAAATACCGTCTATGGTATGGTGATTTTACGCATTAATTAGTGGTACGGTAAAAAAACACGCCCCCCGGACCTCCCTAGTTTCCCTCCCCCCTCCCCTCCCCTCCCCCCTGTTTGAATTTCATCCTGGGGAGAACCCTGGGTAGCATATGTATACACTATGTATGCAATAAATTGGTTAGATATGAATTCCGCATTGCTTGCAATGTTTCGCTTGTCTGCAAAGGAGATGCAGTAAACCTAGAGGCAAGTACATATTTACATTTAATAGTAAAAACAACGAACTGATTCATGTCTGAAAAAGATAGAGGCAAAATCTCTAAGCCACAATTAAAAAAATTCTGTGTGTAAACACATGCTCATTATTGTGAAATATATTTTTTAACTTTGTGTCTATGTAAATTTGGAGCAATTATTAAACTTATCTTCTAACTGATCTATATGAAAAAGGTTCCAGTTCTGCCCATGTACCTAGAATGCATTAATGTTAACTGCAAGTCCGACAGACTGCAGAATTTACTATTGATATAGATGACTTAACCCTATATATAACAGTCTCTTAGGCCAAAACAAAATATATGTGTGGTTACCGTTACATGGCGGAAAAAAATAGGGTAGGTAGGTAGGGAAAACATTTTATTTTCTTGAAATATTTTATTTACGAACCATGTCCGAAGGATGTGCGTTGTGCCTTTTGAAGCAGGAACTGTCCAATTCATTTTTTTTTGACTAAAGAAAATTGACACTAAAATGTTTAGGGTCGCTGGGAATAAGTAGGCTCGGTCGGGAAACCGTAACCACACCTATATTTTGTTTTGGTCTTATCAGAATTGTGCCAACAACCCCCTATCTTATCAACTGCCCATATCTAACTGCAACCCCTTGTGATATGCAGACTGTACTAGGCTACTAATCGTTTGGCTCACATGAGACAAATTGTTGCACAACTTTAACTTCAGTATAAATTTTTCCTGGTGTTTTTCAACCCCCCCCCCCCCTCAAGGGCATAACCCATACTTCCCAGCCATTACGGAAGTTAGCAGTCTGACTGTACTCGTGATCTTTCTAAAAAAAAACTTACTCGTGATCCACCAGGAGGGACCCCACCAGTTGGATAAACACTGCACTATAAAACATCTCATGCTATCCAAATTTGGTGCACAATTCAAGCAAGGAAGCGGCATTTACCTAACACAATGTAAGCATCAGTTGTAATTGTAATTACAAGGTGCACATCTTCTTTGTCAATCATTCAATGTGTCATTTACCTTTTTAAGACATCTGATGCACTCCTCTTCATCTTCATCTACTATCACTGAGATCTGAGGGTGATTTAAAAACTGAAAATGTCAGTTAAGGATGCCTTCTGGTCATATATTTACCAAGCAAAAGTATTGGTACGCCATTCATTCCCACTTCACAATGACTTTACATGAATGTGACACCATCTTCTATCCAGCCAATGTTTAGTTAATAACAAAAATCGAAACACTAAAGATTTTTGCGAGTAACTACAAATTAAATTTGGCAGGTAACGCACAGTAACTGCAAGTTGTGGTGAACAGTGTGATTATTTTTCACACACCACATTTTATTTTCTAGCTTCCTTAAAATGCAGTTCATAGAGGAAGATTATATGAGCTTCTATCACCAGATCTACCGAAGAGATAGAAACTCTCACACAAACAGAGCAAGCGTGAGATGCAAGTTATGTGCTGAGAGCAAGATACCTTGGTTTCAATAACATTGACGTTCCTTGTTTAAATCTACAGATAAATTCTACCCATGAGCTGGTATATGCTGAAGAATTTAACGTAAATTGTTTTTTACTCATTCTTCTCAGTGTAAGGTCTTTTACTCAGTAATCCTGTTTTAACAATATTCCATCAGCAACTCTGAAATTGCTTTACAAAGTTATACAGCATTATATATTTATAGTGTTCACAATAGCATTTTTACGGACATAGGGCATTCATATTTCGTGAGATTATACAGTATTCCACCCTTATACATGTTGGACAAGAAATTGTAACTATGAATATGATACAGCAAGCTGTAAAATCTTGTAATCGTAACTCGTCAGAGTCCAAAGAACTATGTAACGAATTCTCATCTTGAATTTATAGTTTATCCATTACAGAATGGTAAAATGTGTATAAATCATGTGCTACCTCAGTTACGAAAATGCAATTAAATGATGTCAATGTAATTACAACTACAGTACAAGTGCCATATATAACATTTTTGTGCTAGTACTACTAGTAGTATTAATTTTGCTTTTGCATGGATGGACCTACTGCTATCGTTGGTGTGACTACTACAATTCAAATCACTCTACCGTATTTACAAGGTACCATATTTATGGGTACAGTGCACTTTGCCGTGACAATAAGCAGATTTTACTCTAGTTTTAAGGCTTGGAATATAGATCATTGTTAGGTAAATAGTTATTTGTCGAAGGCTATATCCTAAATAGTCGACATAGCGTGCAATTTCACCGTACAAACTACTAGGTAACCTATATTATTATTACTATTACTATTAGTATTACTAAGTAGTAAGTAGTTTAAGTAGTCAATCAAGTTAATCACTTGTCAAGGATACAGTTGTTGACCAGAAATTTGGAATCTTTTCAATAAATTCATTCCTTTTGCAGAATATAGGTTTCTTGAGCAAGCTGTATCTCTGTTCGATTTTGAGGACTTCCTCTGAACACCGTTCGTTGAGGTTGTCGATTTCGCTCTGACACGAGTCGATCCATTTCAAAATGTCCTGTTTGCTGACCACACCGTCCGATTCACTATGGTGGACTTGCTTCTCTCGAAATTCGGGAACATTGACACTGTTTTCCCCATCACATTTTCTCATTTTTCTAGGCAATCCAGCCGCGGTGGCCATGCCAATGTCTTATAGAACAATATTTACACTTTATAAGTGACTTGTAGATCATGCGATATGTGTGATGATTGCTTTTGCTTTGTAATAAATTCACAAAAACAGCATACGGGGAGAACAAAACAGTTGCGACAACGCTTTAGTACGCATGCGTATAACTTCCCAGGTAAACTTGCGGTGAAAAAAACGCTTCGACGGCCATCAAGCGGCAGAAATATCAACTATGCCAATGTCTTTGCATAGTGTACCATGAATAGGAACTTGTCATTTTTATCTGTATTTTAGTAAAGCCTATAATACACATAAGTAATATAACTCTCAGATATAAAGTATTAAACAATAACAGACAATAAATTTTTATCTAAACATTCATGCCAAAATACCATACAGATACAAAATACCAAAAAGGGTTCAATAATAGTTTCAATAAGTTATATCTTTATTACTCGCATTATTAGTGACATTACCAGCACTCACCAATAAATAAGGATATAACCATCTGATCACACACGTATTTGTACACAAACGTAACACAGACAAAAAAAACACGTGAAGCCCAGGCACTGGTTTACTTAATTTATGCCGAACAGGGCACATGCTATATTATGACTCAAATAAGCACGTGACTTGACTTATGACTTGACTTTTTAATGTTCCATGAACACGTTGTCAGATAGCTCATACAATGCTCCACATCGAACTGATCCGTATAACGTACATGCAAGGGAAATCGATAAATGACAGCACCTAGATCTTATCTGAATCTGATATCCAACCGGATTTAGCGATATCTCATAGAGATCTAGACAGTGCAAAAGTTGACAGCTACGTACATGTTGCGATATTCGAAAGTAAGAAAGCAGCTGTTCTGGTTACAGAATTGTGAGAACTCCGGTATGCTAAAAATGTGACTGTCACAATAAGAGAATATAATAATATGCGATTGCTAAATAACGTAAAGGAAGAGCAATGACAAAATAAGTTTAAATAAAAGACCTGATGCACAGTGTAACTCATAAGCTGGTTTGAAAAGGCATGCATAATTACAATAAAACTATTAAAGTACACCATTTACACGAAATAAAAATACAAAAATAATTAAGAACACGTCTAATGCTATCCATAATGACAGCCTTAACAAACCTCTTTGGAAACTATCACCTGCATATCTAAATAACTGTCACGTATGACAAATGACAAATAAAACCGTGGCTACATGCTGCCGAGATAACTTGAGCAACTGAAGGTAAAACCTTACGCTCCAACTACAGATGCTGTAATCATCGTGCAACGTATCACAGGAAATTGTTTGACACCTCACAATCGAGTTATCTATATAGTATGCACTATGCAGCCAGACTTGTGGGCTTTGTTGCACAATAGCACTACCCCAAGACTAGAAGCTGATCCATACGGTGCCTGTTCAACCTTCGCGCTGGTGCAGACAGACATTACTGTCGATGCAGAAGCATTGAAGATTGTGATCATCTGCTATGATTCATTCACTACAACTCGTGTAGTGGCGAGGGTGTGGGGGCAGTTCCCACAATGATGTCAGTGTCTGTACCAAAGAACCTATCGCCAAAGTTACCTGAAACAAAAAGTCAATCAAACGCCAAATTACCACACGTTTGTGAATTATTTAATCCCAGATCAATGCCGAACACATTACAAATATTACTACTACATACTAGAATCAATACAATTTTTCATGTATCTAAATGTTACCGCCCTCCCCCATGTAAATAGCTGTGCAGACAAATTTACCTATTCCCGGTACGATATGAAACTGGTCGTTGAGTATGCGGTCGACAGCCGTCGTCACGATCTTCACCTTTGGAAAGGCGTAGGCGACCGAGTGCACACCTGTCATAGGCACATAATCACCAGGTGAGACAACTCAGGTGAAATAGTACCTGTGTTTCACACCTCGTCAGCTGCCTCTGGCACTGCCATTTGCATACGACACTACAGAGACATAAAATCTGAGCACATGCAACAGAATAAATCAATTGAAATGTTTTGCCAAATCTATGTTCCACTGCACAGGTAATGGGTAGCAAGAGATATTAGCAGCTAAAAATAGTTGGGTATTTAGGTGCCAAAACAATGCTATCATTTTATTGAACTGAATAATCATGAGAGGATTCTAGCTGATATGATTACATATTACAACAACACCAATTACTTTAATATCATGATCTGTACTGCCGCATGTGCAAAGGAATGGGGTTGCCGGGTTTAATTTAGGTTCTGCCCCGATACCAGAAGAGACCATACGGTCATCGTTTAGAGGTGTCGCCACGGTGATACCTGATTCGGCCATGAGAAGAGACAGCAGCATAATCTGGTCTTCGGATACGTCGTGGTCGAGCAATATACGTATGGCCATCATGGCCGCTGCTCCCGTTGCCACGGTCGCATCCATGAGCAGCACGTGGTAGTCCTTAATGTTCCTCGGTAGACGCAGGTAGTACAGCTGATGCAGAAAATTCGAAAAAATTACTTCAGACTGCCAGCCATGACACGAGACTGAAACTAAACTAGGTCAGATAAACCATGAAATCACAGAATACACGCATTACCGATCTACATTTACCTGGTTTCATCCCATCACTGTTTTAATAAGCAAATAAAAAATTTATGTTAATCATTTATTTATTTTGTTTCACTACAAACATAAACGAGTTGCAGATAATATTCAACAGTATCAATTAAATATCTGCTGCTACATACATTTGGGTGGGGTAATATTAATGCCTAGAGGTCAATGATCTTGTAACAGAAGTTACAAAATTTACATCAGCACAGAGACAAAGACGTTGACTGGATACCAACCTCTGGCTCTCCCGTATCGAGGTTTGTTTGGATCAGGATCTTTCCGAGTCTTACATTTTTTACGACGCTGGAGATGGCTGGTTCCATTGTCTCCCCAGCTCGAAGTATCGAGACACCGCAGATCTAGAACAGTACAAGACAAAAAGACAAATCAATATCAAACACCTGCTGTAAAGCCAATGTTGCAGTAGCCTATTTACATACATATGCAATTCCATAAATTCTCGCAACTTGTGAGATTAACGGAACCTTTCTCATTGGAAGCAGAGTTATAGATATTTTTTCTATTTTTTTATTTTTTTATTTATTTAGGCAATTATCCATCATATACAAAACATAGCATACTTTTACAATAAAATTCTTAATTCATATAATTGGATAACTACCAAGGATATATACACAAAAAGCATGACTAGCACACTTATTTACATTGTGGTCCTTGTTTTGCTATGCCTTGAATCTAACAATTACACTACTAATACTATCAGCACTAACTATTGAAATATACACATTTGTAGTTTTAACCGGTCATACAATAGTACATTCTCATAAGACGATACAAACTTTTCTTATGCCTAATTTTAACCGAATTCTTTTAGCGAAAATCATACTCCTCTGCCTCTAATGTTTCTACCTTTTCATAGTTAACATTTAGAGCTGTTAATACATTAGCAATGTGACATTTTGCTGTTGCAAGAGAAGTTGTTTGTTGAGTGATAAATGTGACACTATGTTAACCTGTTTTGCTTACTAACACATTTAATATTTATAGCTTTAAGCATCATTAAAGCCTCAGATATCATTATGTTTCCAGTTCATAATTCAAAACATTGTATGACGGTCACTCACACTGACCTTCTTCGTGTCCATCATTCGTCCTTCATACGGCTTTCCCTGTGGAGTATCCACAACTACATCCTGCATAAAAAAATAAATACATAGGTGCTTCACCAACAACAAACATTAAGCTCACGAATGAAATTCGTGAACAAACAGGTTTTTGAAAATACTACAATAAAATTTCCAGTACAAACACATGTTACTAGCCACTTGGATCTGGTCTTTGACCGAGTTCAGTCTGGTATACACTCAGCTTTCTGCCATCTACTGTGTATAGAAGTACCATTATAAATACTCCACAAAAACCTAAGCAAAGAAAACCGCTGTAAAACGATTGTTGTTGTTGTTGTTGTTATTACCACTCTATGATATTTTCAATCTCATATAGTATATGGGCATAGTCTGTGTGGTTTCTTGCTCTGTGAAGGTGGACATACCTTGAAGGGTAGATAGGAGAGTGCATACTCTATCAGCAACCTCATCAACCGTTCGGAATAAAATATGAACTGGTCTCTCGGCAGATCCTTGTCCCTAAACAACCAAACACAGAAAATTTCACTGAATGCGCGATTCAGCGCGCGTTTAAAAAACTGCAGCTGAAAACGTGCGAGTTTAGCCTCAACACGTGCCATTGCCTCCGTGAGCATAAGAGAAGTGTGGTGGACGCATTTCAGTGTGCCCTCTACATACACACTGTTTTAAATTAATTACTAAAGAGTTTTTCCAGTGCTAAACTTAGCGCTGCAATCATTTTTTTTGCAAAATTAGGATAGCAGGATTTTTCTGATTCCGTCTACCCCATAGAGTCAACAATAATGTGATGATGACATGTTCTAGTCATGTATACCTTATGAATGTGTGTAAGCCTCGAACTTGTGGTGTGTTCTCTAGTATATGTAGACTTGTAGGCGGAGACCCACCATTGTGAGAACATGCTAACTTTGATCTGTGCTTGAATCCCCTCTAGAAAATCAAAGTTAGTTGCAGTCAGCTGTGCATGGAAAATGGATTAACATTTCAATGCTAAGAAAAAGAGAACGTGAGAAATTTTCACTGACAGAAGTGTAAAAGGGAAGAACAGGAGGTGAGTGTTCACCAACATACCTGTTGCAACTGTGTATTGACGTGCCGTACAATAAGATTCAATGCTATTTCATTCTCTCCACCTGCAACAAAATTGTACACGTACGATATAACTACAGTTTGTTGTTTTGGACACAAATCAATTTCATTTCAAAATAATTTTTCCCCATTCTGCTTAACACATGTCTAATCATTGATAAGAAATAATCTGTCAGTTTGTTAAGCAAACTAATGCAATGCTTACGAGCACCATTTACACTTGGTAATTATGTTATTACCACATTTGTACAAACAAAATCATCCAAATGCCATACTTGCATTGAAGACTTCTGATAGTCACCATTGCAAGATTAAGCACAGACGCACCTCTGGGTACTATGATGTCAGCATGCGCCATGGACGGTGCAATATAATGCTCGAATGCCGGTTTCACAAACTTGTTGTACTGTTTCAGTACACCCTCTAACTCTCGGCCACGCTCAGAAATGTCCCTTCGTAGCCGCCTTGCCAGCCGAATGTCAGAGTCAGTATCCACAAAAACTTTGAGATCCATCAGCTGGAAGTAGCCACAGAAACAGTGTCAGATACGTGAGCGTAAAGAAAGACCATCACTCCTACCACCATGCATGCTGCTAGATAGACCAGAAGAAAATCCCAAGATGATTGTAACCATGGTTACAATGTCAATGATTGCTCTACTTAGATGAATTTTTAAGTTTTCTCTAGCTACAGTAGTGATTTTAAACAGCCCATGCAAGTCAGGTTGTATTTTTCAGATTAATTCACCTGAGATTATTGAATGTTAATAAGATATGAGCTACTACTCTCACACGTTAAAAAGTTATAAAAGCATGAAACAAACCAGGTGTTACACACTTACTGGCAGCAAATCAGCATAGTTTTGAAAAGCCAGAATTCCTTCAAATATGACAACATTAGCTCCATACAATTGTTTCTGAAATCAAAATTAAAATGGTGATGAAAATAGACTGAAAACATATAGATGACAATGGTGGATCCTAGTACATTCTAAGAAAATATTTTCACATGTATCTAACACCAATATAAAGCTGAACAATTGAAAATATCTATGTGACTGTATAACCAGGGTTTGTACCCGAGCAAGTCAAAACATTTTTCCAGGACTTAGAAGGTCCGTATTCCAGGAGAAGTGACCAGCAGACCTATAACAGTAGGTCTTGCGCTGCATAGGATGAAAACTAACCGAGTAGCAGACAGTGCTTCACCAGTTCACCGAGTTAGTTATGACGCCCTCACCTTGTACGTCTCTCTGCTGTGTGTGTTAAAGTTGTAGATGGGCACATCAACCTGCTTGCCCATTTTCAGCTTCTTCAACGTATCTGTGAGCAGCTCAAAGTCGAAGGCATCCGGATGATCAAAGTTGAACTCGTTCCTTGCGGCCACCTCCCGGTCTGCGTCAGTGAAGTTCTACGGAAAAATGCAAACACGCGTGCACGGGGCATTCAAGCTACTTCCACAAAGAAGACGAATAGCCAAGCAGTTCCAAGAATATTACTTTCACATTTCACCTTTAGCGGTGATACTCGAATACACACTGTAGAATGTTGTTGAGACTATGTTTGTTTGTCGAGACATGTATGTTTGTATATATTGTTGAGACATGTATTGTTGAGACATTGACAACATTGGAAACAGACATTGGAAACATTGGAAACAACATTGGAAACATTGGAAACAACATTGAAAACAGACATTGACAACATTGACATGTATTGTTGAGTTATTGACAACATATTGTTGAGACATGTATGTTTGTTGAGACTAGTTGAGACATTGGCGACTACGTTTTGATGAAACTCGACGAGCTCCTACCTTGTAGAAGGAGTCCATGCTGAGATGCACCACCCAGGGAACATCTAGCTCCTCAATGATCTTCCTCGCCACCGTCGTCTTCCCCGATGCACTGCCACCACAGATTCCTGGAGGAATGCAAAACCATGAACGCATAGACGGTACGGGCCGGCTAAGCCAAACATAGCCTCGTGTACCAGTGAAACAATGCCTGGCCTCGTGTCACGTGTCAGCAGAGGAAAGAGTGTTATGTGGCAGTGGCATGGATGCTCGTGGTACAGTCGAATGGTGAGCTGTAAACGAGGGTTGGAAGAAGCAGAAGGTGGGCCGATGGAAGATGGGTTGCCCTTTCGCTCTGTCTGATCTTGCTCCTCGTTACAAACATGTGTTCTAATAATGGACTCGGCATCAAACTCGTGCTTCTCTTGCCCATATCTACATCGTTTAGGTCTGCCATCTCTGTGGGGAATGGTCACTCCTGTCATCTTAGCCAGTCCTCCCTTTCTTTCTGTTGCACTTCCTGATGCTACTCCTGGGCCCACATACTGGATGTCAAAATTAGGGGGACCCCCAACCATCACCACCACCATGGCCAGCATGTGACCCCGGCCCATCCGGTAAAATGATAGCTCAGCCCCGAGTAAAGCATTAGTTTGTGAACGTCAAGTGCTGGAACCTTCAATTTACGTATTCATTGATCTACTTCACCTACGAGGCATTTATCGCGAACATTGATGGTAATGGGGGAAATTGGTTATTGTATGTCAGAATTAGTATTTACCATTAGAGGGTTTAGATTACGTCTTGCTTAAGTAATAAATTGCATTGGGCAAAAGCATGTTGTCCACGTCCATGGTGCTGCCTCTCTGCCTTAGTCCTATCTAGCCCAACGTCGGCTAATAGCTAAGCTAGAGGTAGAGCTAACAGCAGTAGTGGCTGATTGTGAGGAATAAAAACTATAAAGGCATAAATACATGGTGTAAGTTGTGGAAATGTTAGCAAAGATCAGGTGGATGTCTCACGTGACGTAGATAGATAATGTTAAAGAAAGCCCGATTCATTTTCGTTTTTCTATAAGCGATTTTCGTGGGAACTTTGGAGCTGTTGGCAGCAGTGAAATCTAGCTGAAATGTTCTAGTAGCCTTGCGCAGTCAATGTACGCGGCCTATAGTAGCTACGTACGTATTATAGTACAGGGTTCTCCCTTACGTTGCGCAAACGGGCGCGCGCGCCCGTTTGGAAAACTCCCCCTGTTTGACTCGTTGCCCCCGTTGAATACTCCGCCGCAGTTTAAATTCCCACCACAATAAAATGTTTGCAGCAGCGGGAAGTCGACCGTCAAGAATTGCCGTTCGAACCAGGACACCCGACCGTGTTTTTTACGTATCACGCATGCCACTGCAGACAGTACACAAGTTAATCCTGACAATGCACAGTTAACCTATAACTAACTGTTACACAACCGCTTCGGCTACTTATATATAACAGAACCCACAATACCGCTAATGGTGTGGGGGCGATTTTACGTTATTAGTCGTACGCGTAAAAATACCCGCCCACCCGGACCCACCTTAGGCTTCCCCCCTCCCCCCTCCCCTCCCCCCTAGTTCCCCCCCCCCTCCCCCTACCCTCTCCTCCCCTGTTTGATTCAATCTGGGAGAACCCTGTACTTAGTACTATAGTATACACGTGTACGTGGCGCGCGCGTTGCGTGCGTGCGTGCGGGTGTGTGTGAGCTATAGTTACGCTAAGAGGTCCGTTGTCTGTATCAGGTACTACAGATATCGTACCGAGGTACATATACATATCGTATACCAAAAAGTGTACAGCCTTGTACTACAGAAGTGTACCCTAACCCTAACCCTAACCCTAACCCTATAATCTAACCCTATTACCCTAACTCTAACCTAAACCTAAACATACCTCATATAAAATATAAACATAATACTAAACACTAAAACAACTCGGGTACATATCTGTAGTACCTGATACGACAACGACCCCATCTGCGATAGTTACAGGGCCGTACACCGGCACTTGGAACGTCTCAATAAAAAAAATAATGGTAAATAAACGAAATGTATTTACTACCAGTCTTAATGTTTCTCGACTCTAGGCCTACTCATTACTCTATTTTGCCTATTATTGCTGATAATTACCTGTAAATGCCGGTAAAATGCTCATCTGCAACACACAAGTACACCGCACGCTTGCCCTGTGCACAAACAACATGAATAAGAGAGATGATAAGAGAGAGAAGAATAATGAGAACATAATGAACTCTCTTATTCATGTTGTTTGTGCACAGGGCGTGCGTGCGGTGTACTTGTGTGTTGCAGATGAGCATTTGACCGGCATTTACAGGTGATAATATTGGCAATAATAGGCGAAATAGAGTAGGGGAACATTAAAACTTTGGTAGTAAATACATTTCGTGTTTATTTACCTTTTTTTTATTGAGACGTTTCAAGTGTCTGTGGGGCCGTAGCTAACAGGGGGGGAGGGGGTAGCTGCCCCCCGCCAAAAAAAGAACCCAGTGAAGCATGGCTCTCAAGGGGTAGCTTTAAAAATGAGTGA